AAACAGCAATTGCAACTACTAAATTAGCGATGCAACATATAAATATTTGGTATTCAGCCTATACTGCTGAACGCAGAATATTCATTTCGGACGAATAAAGGAAGAATTGTCTGCCGAAGACAAAATTTAGTTCGTTTACATCTGCCCTTATTTCCCCCCCCCCCTTCCTGGAAAGGGCTTATTCGATTAACAAAACAATATTGAAGATAAACAAATTTGTGAAGGGTCCGATTAAAAGATAAATTATTTTGTGAAGGTTCCGTTTTTAAGTTAAAATATTTTGTGAAGGGTCTGTTAACGGATCCAAATTTCTTCTAAACATACCCCTGAATATTATATCTTAAGTGCAATCAATACTAATTATCTAACACGTACTTAAATGAATTCATATTCATTTAATTCAACCAATACCCAATGGTAAAATAAAAGAGTTTAATATTCTTGAAACATCCGCTAAATTAACTGACGATGTTTAGGCGATCTATTCACAAATTCCTGTGATTAATAAATGATTCACTTTCACATACTTATTGATAGGTACTTCCCAAAACACGTATCACTACAATGATCCTTTGTATGACATTGAAAACACCAGACTTCACGCATTGTTTAATGCCCTTGAACGCATAAGTCACATGATAAAATAGAAATAATTGCTTCCTTAAACTATCAGGAAGAAATATAAACAAAGAAACATTTAAAAAAAAATCCTAAAGTAAGAATTTTTATAGTTAAATGGATGCTTAATAATACTTCTTTAAAGCGAACAACACTGAAAAAATTTCAGAATTTTTTTTTAATTTTATTTATTTATTCTTATTTTTATATAATTAGCATTTGTGAAAACAAAGTTTTAAAAATGTAATTCAAAACTCTACAGAATGAGAAAAAAACGGCGCTTTCAAATCGATTACATATGCTTTGCTTCATTTATTAAAATAAACGATGATTGTGGGTAGCGGTTTTAATTAAACTCATACTCAAGTTTAGAGTTTAATTTATAGATCAATTTTAAATTATCAGACTAAATTTTATGCTTCGACTATTCATTTATCTTTTTAAGAGGAAAATAACAAATAAAAGAAACTAAAAATGATTTCAAATTCAAGGGATGTAATCTTTATAACAAAATGCATTAAATATTTTTTTCAGTTGAATTGTTTAGTTCAGTGAATCAGACAGATTTCTTTTTCTTTCGATTATTCATTTCTTATAAAAAAAATTAAAAAATATCCGGAATAAATAATAGGATGTCGATAAGCTTCTTATACAGGACACAGCTCAAAGTGCGTATTTAAGAAAATGAACACAGTTCGAAATGTTTTTTGAGATGTGTTCATTTTCTTAAATACGCATCTTAATGTCCATTTTCTTAAACACACAATTTGAGATTTGTCCAGAATAAGAAGTTTGCCGACGAGGAACTAAATATAAGTTTGAAATCAGAATACAATTTTCGTTAAATATTTCTCTATTTAATTATATTAATTTATAGACAATTGAAATTTTTTTTTTAAAATTGAAGTCATACCCCAAAAGATCAATTTCAGTGTATCAGTTCTGTGTTCCGTATACTCAAATTAATTTTTTGGAGTATCAGTTTAATTTTTTTCTTTCGATTAAAAATTTTTTAATGATAAGAAAAAACTGATTAATAACAAAAACTAAAATTGCTTTGAAATCAGATAATAAATATAACAAATGCGTTGTTTAATAAAATGAATTTAGTAGGCAATAGAAGTATCTATTTTTCAAATTGGAACCGTACTCAAAAAATTTATTTCTTGAATATCAGGGTGGTTTTAAAAAAATTCTTACACTGTTCGATTAAATATATCATTAAAAAAGAGAAATATCATTAGCAGAGGCCTGTAACAGTATAAACTTTACTTAATAATTAATGTTAAGGTCATTTTCGAGACCATCTGATGTATGCATGAGAAATATTTTTTCTTTTTTGAATATTAGACATTAATTGCTTTTTTTTATAAACTGAGCATTAGTAGATATTTTCAAGTATAAAACAATATGAAATTATCTGAAAATATTAAAAAGAAAACAGTATATTTAAAAAATTTGTAGAAAGGAATTTTAATGTGTCTGTCCAAAACAAATTTATAATGTTTTACTCAAAATTGCCTTCCACACGAAAAAAAAAAATTCTGGTAAAATTACCGTTTCTGGTCAATTACATTTCCGTTAAAGAAATCCATAATTCTGGTTGAAATACCAAAATATATGGTATTTAAACTATTAATTTGGTAATTTTTCCATTCATATGCGAACGGTTTTCCGGATATTCAAAATAATAGTACGTATATAAATATAATAGTACATTTACATAAAATATATAAATATAATAATAATAGTGTATAATATAATAATAATAGTATAATAATAGTATATAAATATAATAGTACATTACGTATATAAATATAATAGTATATAATAGTACATTTACTAAAAAATACAAAACTGAAAAGCAAATTTAATCCAATAATTGGTTTTTATACCATGCTCTAAAATATCATAATAAAATTACCATATTTAATCACACATTATTTTGCGGCTAATTTTATCACATCACTACCAAAGCCATTCATTAAAAATTACCAAATTTTTTTTGTTCCCATTGAGCCAGAAACATGATAAATTTTACCATTTTTTGGTAGTTTTGACCATATTTTCTTACTCAGTGAGGAAACGAAACATTTTAGTACGTCATATTTAAAACTTGTATTATAAATTACATTAAAAAAAAAAGGCCATATGAAATTTTATAAAGATATATTTTTTGCATGACTAAATACCACTTACGAAAATGGATGCTACCATGCACTTATTAAAGGTTTTTTTAACAACGTAATCATAAATAATTTATGCATGACAACACGTTTTTTAGATTACTCAAAAGACTACTTCAAACGGAAATGAAATTCTATGTTTGGTTGATGAAACCGAAACATTTTGGTGAATTGCTTATTTTACTACTTTATTACAGTTAGATGTCTGTTATAGTCTGTTACTTTATTACATTTAGATGTCTGCTATAATAGAAATATTTATTTATTCTACAAGTAAAAATTTATTTATTCTGCAGTCTTATTGCTACTCAGTCAAAATCCAATATAATTTTAATATTTTTATCATTTAGATTTCTGAATTTATTAAAATTTAAAATCAACATAATATTAATAATATTAAATTTACATAGGAAGTATTTTTGTCTTGAATACGTAAAAATAATAGGAATTATGGTATGTGACACTTTTCATCGTATCGGACCAAAAAAGTATCAAATAAAAATAATTTAAAAAAAAGAACTTTATGAAACACATTTAAATAGTATAGAAGAAGTTTATATGTTTAATTATTTTTATGAATTATTACATATTATCTTACCAGGGGTCTGTCCAGACATTTTGTGAAAGGTCCGTTTTTGTAAAATTGTGAAAAAATTACTCGTAATTTGTGAATATAAAAAAAACGTTAGGTCACATTCGTTCCACCAGGGTCCGTTTTTGTGAATTTGTGCAAATAGGGTCCGTTATTGCAAAAAAAAACTTTTCAAGGAGTTTTTAAATTGTAAAGACATACAAGATTATGCTCAAGACTGTAAAATTATAGTTAAAAAAATTAAATTTTAAAAAATAAGCAGCGATTGCAGCCACTAAATTAGCGATGCAACATACAAACATTTGGTATTTAGCCTATACTGCTGAACGCAGAATATTCATTTCGGCTGAATAGAGGAAGCAGCGTCTGCCGAAGACAAAATTTAGTTCGTTTGCATCTGTCTTTCTCCCCACCCCCTTCCTGGGAAGGGTTTATTCGATTAACAAAACAATAATCAAGATAAGCAAATTTGTGAAGGGTCCGATTAAAAGATATATTATTTTGTGAAGGGTCCGTTTTTAAGTTAAAATATTTTGTGAAGGGTCCGTTTTTAAGTTAAATATTTTGTGAAGGGTCCGTTTTTATGAAAAGATATTTTGTGAAGAGTCCGTTAACGGACCCAAATTTCTTCTAAACAGACCCCTGCTTACATACAATGACAACCAGTTTTTTCAATGGTGGAAAAAACCGCAGGAAAAAAAGATATGGAGAAAAAAAATCGTCCAGGAAGAAATTAGTTTCTTCCAAATGGAATAAAATGATGAAATTCTTTTTCCAAAGAGAAATATCTAGTAATTGGAATAAATTGGAATAAAAAATAATATTAATGAATTTCTTAAACAATTAAAATAATCATAGTTCGTCAATACTAGTAAAGTAATAAAGTAAAATCTAATTTTATTATTATAAAAAAATAGTTAAAATATCATAACTAAATTTTATTAATACTATTTGTATATTAAACCTACACACTACTAATAGTTGAAAATTAAAATGCATACCAAATTTATAATTACAAACAGCCTATAAATTTTTATCATCAAATATTGTTTAGAATGAATGAATATCACACCAATTCTTAGATAATATGTTACATAGATTTAAAAATAGCGTATAGAACTCAAATTAATAATATGAAAATAGTTTATTTTAAAAAAAAATGTAGATGCGAAAAACTTAACTGTCTCGTGCTATACTAAATTTAACTGTTTTAATCTATTCTTGTAATAATTATGGCTAAACAATTGTACTGTTCATTTTTAGTTTCTTCCAAACAAAATGCAAAGCCTCTTTTTCCAAATAACACAGAATTTTCAAAATGATCCCTCAAAAACTATAAATGCTTCCTTTTTTTCTGATAAATTATAATAATACATGCTATAAAATTACAAAAAAAAAAATAGAGTTAATATAAAAAGCTCGAAAAAAAAAGGAAAGAAAAATCTTATAATAGAGATAAACCAAAGGTTAAGCAAACGGAAACGCATGATAGCGGAAATTGAAGGCGTGGCCGAAATCTCTCGGAAGTTAATAAAAAAATTCCAGTGTCCAGAATTCGAGGAAATGGATCTCTGATCCGGAAAAAGGAAGAAGAATACACCTACCCCAAACTGCTCCTTGAATCCACCAGACTCGGACATGGTCTTTACATAACGCTCCAAATCTTCAACTTTCACTACATATTGCCTCTCTGTCCCAGGAGGGGACTCATAACTTTCTATTTCCAGAGTCATCTTTATTTTTTGACCTACAGAAAAGTAATAAGTAAATGGAATGACTAAGAATAAACATATAAGAGTGGACATGCATATGTTATAGATAAAGTGTTGAAACCTCTTATTCTACATATTATCTAGTTAATATGTTGATTAACTAGGGTGATCCATGCAGAAGCAAAAAAGTTTCATTTCTGTTATTACCTAGGTCAGCGGTTCCCAATTTTTTTTCCGGCTGTGGAACCCTACATAATCACATTCTTTTGGCGGAAACCCGAGACTTGATGCTACAGCTTATCTAGCTAATATGCTGATTAACTAGGTTGATCTGTGGAAGTGTAAAAAAGTGTTTCATTTCCGTAATTACCTAGGTCAGCGGGTTCCCAATTTCTTCGGTTGTGGAACCCTACATAATCAGATTCTTTTGGCGGAACTCCGAAACTTAATGAATAACTTTTATTAACTATTGTGAACATATAAATTAACGAAAGACTTATAATTATTTCAAAAATATGCAATGATCTAAATTTTATTAATTATTTTGAAATTTCTTTCGGTTGTGGAACACCAAATAATTGCTTTCTTTTGGCGGAACTCCGAAACTTAATGAATAACTTTTATTAGCTATTGTGAACATATAAATTAGCGAAAGACTTATAACTATTTTTAAAATATACAATGATCTAAATTTTATTAATTATTTTGAAAATGTATAGAGAATAAATGAAGAATCAGGGGTCTGTCTAGGTTTTTCTGAGAGGTACCTATTTTGTGAAAATTTAGACATAATTTGTGAAAAATTAAAAATTATATTAAAAAATAAACACAAAAATATGGATTTATCATTTCTTAAGGGATACAAAAATAAAATTTAAAGAGAAAGTATTTTGTGAAACTACCGTTTTTCCTAAAATTGAATTTGTGAAACTACCGCTTTTCCTAAAGTTGAATTTGTGAAGGTACCGCTAAACGGTAGTAAATTCGTCCTGGACAGACCCCTGAGAATGAAATTTTTTTAATCATATTGCTTTATCAATTTTAGTCTTAAAATTGGGTCTAACGTCAGATAGTTGAATTTACAGGTTTGGTGCAGAATCTAGTCTAGTTATTAATTTGCTTTTAATGCTTGCATAAAACGAAAATTGAATATGGTTTCCATTAAAATGAAGAAGAAAAAAAAGGAATATAAAATTTGAGAATATTTCTCAGCAGATATACTTCTTCATTGTTGAATTTGCTTTCTTTTTTTCAATACGAAATACAAACGGAATTTTTCATAACTGCATATCCTTCATCATAATTCCTTTATTGTTAGTATTAGAAAAACATAGTTTTGAAATTTCTTTTTTCACAAGTATTTCTATTAAATACTTTCATAAAAAAAACGGAAATATTACAAAATAATGAATTATTAGCTGAATAAATTTAATTACAAGTTTCGAAAATCTTAACTGGTTAAAAAAAAAAATCCTATCTATCGGAACCCCTATGACCCTTAAACGGAACACCATTTGGGAACAACTGACCTACGGGATTGGATTTGATCTACGGAACTGATCAACTGATTTACGGCAGTATCGACAGGATCTGCACATTACCTACGGTAAAAACATTAAAATAAAAATAAGAAATTTACTGGGACAACAGCAATGTTATTCATTTACTTTCAGTTATCTAAAAAGTCAAATTACTACAACAATCAATCAACGCATTAGTTGATATAGAACTAATCCTCAATAACTTCAAAAACTATAATACGAAGGAATTTCAAGGTTTAAAATATCACACTTAAGAAAAATTAACATAATGTCATTTATTTCATTTTTGGTGCCTAATAAATAAACTATCAACAAATTAGTTGATAGAATGATAGTAACAAACTTTTAATCTTTAACGATACGGAGACCCTTACTGGGTAATGCGCTTAATACCTAGAAAATTGAGGTGAAATTTTGATTTCGCACTTTAACGGATCACTAGTTGATCTGCAAATTAGCAAGCTAATGTGCATGTTAATGTTTTCGAACTTTAACGATAACAATCATGGTAAGAAATTATATTTTAAAATATATTGTTTAGTTTTTAGTATCATTATAAACTGTTATAAGATCAATAAAAATTATCTGAATAAGAATGACCGTAAGTACAGAACTCAGAAAAACAAATCTGTTTAGCATTTACATCAATAAATAATTCGTAGAATTTAATAATGGAAAAAATGGCGAACCGTAAGTGAATTATTCTATAGTAGTTTGCCATTTTTAACGAACCGATTCTTTTTTAAGATTACCCAACAGTTCCATATAAACAAAATATTTAAACTAAAAAATTAGTTATCCAGAAGGCTTTTTGAAAAATATTTTTATAACAGACATAATATAGAGTAAATGCGTAAAACATTCTAAAATGATCTTTTAAAAAAACGAGCAGTATTCTTTTACTTTCGCCTGTAAAAAGTAAAAGAATACTGCTCGTTACTACTGGCGAACAAGTGTCAAAAGTAAAGAGAAGAGGATTCGAATTCAAAGGAAGGCACTGGTCCACCCTGGGCTGTCTAGCCAGATATGATGATGATGATTCGTTTACTTTATATCCCATTTCTAACAACCTATATGCAGCGGAACACAGGTTGATTAATTTTCAGGTTGATTGATTAATTAATTATTTGAGGCACTTCACCTATTTTATAATATTTAGAGCACTACATTTAATTTAAATTGTTCACTTCATCAGTTTTATTTTGTTTGGAGCACTCATCTGTAACATATTACTTAAAACACTTAATCTGCTTTAGCTTATTTGGTGTAATTTAATTGTTATAGGTTACTTAGATGTTCTCATTTGTTGAAGGAAGTTGCTTATGTTCTGTTCATACAACTTTGTTATTTTTTATATTCAGGCGAGCCGCACAAGATATTTTAAGAGCGATATTTAGATATTTTAAGTGCACCGTCAACCAAAAAAATTTGTTATGATCTTTTAACTGTTGACCTCATTAAGCATGATGACTGGTCTGTTTTCCCGCAATACACATCGATATTTATCGGTTTTTAAATTACCCTACGCTAAAAATAGCTTTAAAATTTTTAATTAAAAATATGATATTATTGCTCTTAAAATAATCTTGATTTTTCTTATCCTATTATATATCAGATTGAGTAAAAAGTTTTCCGCCAAAAAAATACAATCCTGTAAAATGATAAATAGATAGAAAATCAGCAAAGTTAATGAGGATAGTAATCTCCATTCAAATCAACAATAGTCTGCCAACGTTTTGGCAACTTTTCAATCCCTTCTGCGAAGAACTGGGAGGTGCGCGAGTCCAGAAAGCGATCAACCTCATTTATGACCTCGTCATTTGAACGGAAGATTGTGCCATCAAGATGCAGCTGCAAATGTGAAAACAGAGAGTAATCTGAAGGTGCCATGTCTGGACTGTATGGTGGATGTTGCATCAAATCCCACTCCAGTGTGTTGAGGGTCCAGCCGGTCATTGCACTGACATGTGGCCGGGAGTTATCTTGATGAAAGAGAACCACCTTCCTTCTGAACTCGTTTTTTCGTTTTTCGTGAATGGCATCGCTAACTTTGATTAGCATATTGCTGTATATTGTACTGTTGATAGCCTGCCCGCTTTTCAGGTACTCCTTGTAGATAATTCCACGACAATCCCACCAGATACAGAGAAGGACCTTCTTGTTAGTTAGCGTTCGTCTTGCAACCGAACCTGCTGATTCCCCGGGTGCTGACCACCCTCCTTTACGTCTAGTATTGTTGTAGTATACCCATTTTTCATCACAGGTCACAATTCTGTCCAGAATGTTCTCTTTCCTTTGATCTCTGAGCAGAACCAAACAGGCCGCTTTTCTTTTGCTCTTGTCTTCAGCAGTCAATTCGTGAGGCACCCAGCGGTTAAACTTAAATGTTAAATTTATGCGTTTGAGGGCATTTACTATTGTTTTTTGGCAAACGTCAAGCTCTAACGCAATGGTTCGTGTTGAAACATTTCTGTCTTGATCAATAATTTGCTTTAATTGGTCACAATCAATCTCAATAGGGCGGCCAGAACGTGGTTCATCTTCAATGTTGAAATTTCCACTATTAAACTTTCGAAACCAAACTTTTACTGTATCATAAGAAACAGTATTGAAACCTAAACTTACACACATTTTCTTGTGGCATTCAGTTGCACTGAGTTTATTTCGGAACTCATAGTAAATAATCGTTCTGATCTGCTTACGTGATAGCTCCATTTCAAACACTTTTCTGGTGCACAAAATGATAAAGTTTTGACAAACAAATTACACAGTTGTGTAGTTCCAACTTTCAGCTTTAAAATGCAAAAGCCCATTTCTGAATAGGTTAACTACCACGGGAATGGCTGCTGCTGGCACGGAGGTATCTCCCCTTGGCGGAAAACTTTTTACTCAACCCGATATATATATATATATATATATATATATACGTATTATGTTTTTATATATAACTAATTAATGTTACGGATGCTAAGAAGGAAAAGAAAGGGCGAAATGAAAAAAAAAAGCTAAGAGCAGCAATAGTTTCAGCAGTCAAACTATATGTTTGTTTTTTTAGAAATAATCAACAATAAATTTTATTTTATAAGAAGGATTAATTATTGTTCACGTGGTTATCATAATATATCATAATAAAACATAATAAAATCAGAAATATATCGTCCGATTGATTTATTCGATCGATCAGACGATTTTTTTTTTAAAAAAAGGCACATTTCCAAAATTTTGTTCTAGTATCAATTTTAAATAATTTTTTGGAATAAAATAATAATAATGATGTTGTGTAAGTGAATTTTTGTTAGAAATTTGTTCACTGATGTCTTTATAAGCTTTAATGTTATGCTTACATAGCAAAAATAGTTTTGATTATGTATTTTTGGATTTACTTTTGAAGGGAAAAAATGCAACGACATTTTTTTTCGCCACATCAATTATGTAAGAAAAAAATTCTAACTCCATGAGCAGGAAAGGAATACTAACAAAAACCCTTTTTACATAAAAACTAGGTCAAAGACCTCAAAATGAGAGCTACCTGGAAAAAAAAGCTAATTAGAAAAAAATAATAATTACAGAAGCTGTTCTATTTTCCTCTCTGATGAACAAACTGACCTGTATTCATGTAAACTGAATTTATAAAATTCTCTGCCACGTAATAGCTAATTTTAATTCTATTTAAAGCAACAAAAAAATTAGGTTTCAGGTTCCTTAATAAACTACCACATAAACTTAAATTTGAAAAAAAAAATTTAAATTCGTATTTATTATCATTGGTGTGTTTCTTTATATGCTCAACTGATATTAGCAGCTTTAGATAAAAGCTACATAATCGGCAATTTCTTTCTTTTTTCGAAAAAGAAATAAAATTTGTTTATTTATTAATGAAAAAATCTTTTAAGAAAGATATTTTTTCTAAGAAAAATATGCTTTTTTTTCATCCCAAAAATGGAAGTTTGATGAATTTAAATAATTAAACAATAATCTATGCAAAATATAAAATTTAACCTTTCCAAACGTAAATAGTTATTAAAATGAAAAAAAGAAAGAAAATCATTAATTATTGGGGGTCTAATTAATATATAATTTAATTACTATTTAGGATTTTCAAATTATTTTTTAATTGAAACAGATTTATTTAAATTTTAATTGGATTTTATTTTTGTTCTTATTGGATGACTAATATTCTTAAAAAATATTTAATTTTTTAATGATATAAAACATACAATTTAAATGTAATATAATAAGTAGTTAAAAATAAACTTTAAATATGTTGAAATGCAATTAAGAATATTAAATGCCTAGTTGAAATATTTGGGTAAAGTTTTAAATATTACCTAAAATCTTTAAAAAGAATATTTCTTTTAAAATATACATAAAAAAATAACAAAACAATTTAAATATCACATCACAACATACAAATAAACTATCGAGTAAAATGAATCATTGTTCAATATATAAGAATACAAATACTTTTATTTGTTTACTGTTTATCACAAATTTAAGACACACACATCATACTCAAAAAAGAAAAAAAATATGAATTTAATGAGTAAAATTGAAACAACTGGAAACAACTCTCTCAACAAAAACTATTTGTTCATAAAACAATATAAAAGACAAATATACCTTTGTACTATTAATTAAAAGTAATGAAAAAAATAATCAAATACTTCTGACAATACTATAATTTAGTTAATATTTTCTAAAAATAATTAAAGCATGGACTTAATGTGGAAAAATATTAATTTAATTGCCAATTTATTTCTAAACTAGACTACTAAACCACGCACAAAAAATATTTTTATAAAAGAAACCCCATCTCACAAAGGTAAACGTAAGTAACTGCCCAATTCCAATGAGGGACATTTTAGATACAGTAGCTTACCTTTATTTCGTTTTTTAGTCAATCTTTAGGCTATATTTTCAAGAAAAACGTTTGTTCATTTTATGTAGCGTGAAAATCTGAATAAAAAAAGAAGGCAACAAAAGAGTTGCATTGTCATAATTAAAAAAAAAGAAGAAATTTCCCCCACCAAAAAGGCCATTCAGAAAAATACACCAAACTTGTGTCTCAGAGTAATATTATAATACTGCGGTTTTAGAAGAATAACCCTGCCCATTACAATCGTTTTTAACTAAAATAAATTAACATAAACTCTTTTCGAATTGTTTCATCAATTATCAAAAAGTGGCCAAACTTTAAAAAACTAAAAAGCTCTATTTTTTAAACGATTAAAATTTACAAAATCTCTTAAAAAAGTTTGTTTTGAATTAAACGTACGACGAATAATGAAAAACGCAATTAAAATGCAAGACGAGATTGTAATATCACGAAATCGACCCTAGCTACTAAATTATCAAGGTCTAGTTCAGACTTGAAGTCTAAACGAAAAAAAAGTTCGGCCCACAAAAGATATCCTCCATGAGACTCTCCAAAGCCGGTTAGGTAACGGAAAATTTAACGCATGATATAACAAAGAAAAAGAAAAGCAAGAATAAGGAGAGGCCTTTACAAGATCAGATCTGCTGACTTTTAGAATCGCAGTTCACCTAAATGTTTGCAAACAGGTGTAAGCGTAGATGAAATCGAGACTCCGAATTCGAAGAGATCATCAAGGTGTGACGGCAATTCATCAGTTCATGTGAGAGTGAAGTAAAAAAATAAAGGATTTTTTTTAAAAAAAAATAACTAAATAAGTAGTTCCATTTCTAACATGTGAAAATAAATAAAGGATATGTATATGCTTTAACTTATAAGCATTTTCTGTCTAAAAAAATATGTTAAATAAAATGCATTTTTAATCAGTCCAGACATTTTGTAAAAGGTCCGTTTTTGTAAAATTGTGAAAAAATTACTCGTAATTTGTGAATATAAAATAAACTTTAAGTCGCATTCCTTCAACCAGGGTCCGCTTTTGTGAATTTGTGCAAATGGGGTCCATTATTGCAAAAGTTTCAAGTTTTTAAATTGTAAAGACATACAAGATTATGCTCAACACTGTAAAATTATAATTAAAAAAATTAAATTTTAAAAAATAAACAGCAATTGCAGCTACTAAATTAGCGATACAACATACAAATATTTGGTATTTAGCCTATACTGCTGAACGCAGAATATTAATTTCGGACAAATAAAGGAAGAAGCGTCTGCCGAAGACAAAACTTTGTTCGTTTACATCTGTATTTCTCCCCCCCCCCCTTTCTGGGAAGGGTTTATTCGATTAACAAAACAATAATGAAGATAAACAAATTTGTGAAGGGTCCGATTAAAAGATAAATTATTTTGTGAAGGGTCCGTTTTTATGAAAAGATATTTTGTGAAGGGTCCGTTAACGGACCCCAAATTTCTTCTAAACAGACCCCTGTTAATGCAATACATTTGTTATTGAAATCCGCTTCTAAAATAGTACACCCAAAAAAGAAATTATCTTGGTGCTTTTTTTTCTTCACTACGTTTAAAATAAAGTTGAAAATGCATGTTTTCAGTAACCAGGGGTCTGTCCAGACATTTTGTAAAAGGTCCTGTTTTTGTAAAAATGTGAAGAAACTATTCATAATGTGTGAATTTAAAATAAGCGTTAAGTCACATTCTTTAAAATAGGGTCCTGCTTTCGTGAATTTGTGTAAATAGGGTCCTGTTATTGCAAAAATTGCTAAAAACCTTTTCAGGAAGTTTTTAAATTGTAAATAGATACAAGATTCTGCTCAACAATTGCTGCTACTAAATTAGAGATGCAACATACAAATATTTGGTATTTAGAATATACTGTTCAACATCGAATTATAGAAACAAAATCACTTACATTTTTAATAATTTCAATTGACATATTTTAAACAACACAACTTAGTAATGTATCACTTTTAATGTATTACGCATTAAGTAAACTTAAACAATTCTTAAATTTATAATATTTTATTTAAATAATTGCCAGAAATTAATTTTTATTTACATAATATTCTATTAATTAATTTTATGAATAAATATAAATTGATCAATTATTTATTTACAAAAAAAAATTATGATTTATTATTAATAAGAATGCGCACACGATGTTTGTTAAAGTAAAAATATTTTCTTAGAATACTACATTTGGAATTTAAACTTAGGGAAACTTAGTTTGTCTCGAACAGTCTTTCTTCCCTCCCCTCGGGAAGGGTTTATTTGATTAACAATGAAGATAAACAAATTTGTGAAGGGTCCCATTAAAAGAAATTATTTTGTGAAGGGTCCGCTAACGGACCCAAATTTCTTCTCAATTTCCCTGGTAACACTTCCTAGCTTACAAAAGAAAGTTTGATTTACTTTTTATATTCTATCCTTTAATAGTGTTGTCAAACGAGGTTTCATTTTATATTTTAAAACCAGTATTGAACAGTCAATCTAAGTAAAATTCGCAGCTATCAATTCTGAGCGTCGTAATTTTTAACCCAACTCAAAACATGGAAGTGTTAGAATTATTAATCTACCTTAGCGGAGGATTTTTCGGCAAGAAACTATTTGTTGTACAGGTTTGTTGAAAACAAAATATTTTAGAATTAGCATGGATAAAGGGAACTCTTAACCATGATCCGTCAACAAAACCAGAGAGATTACGTGTATTGACCAGCCATCTTAGGGACTCGAACCTGCATCGCTT